TTCTTTTTTTTTCTTTTCTTTTTCAGAATACTTGTGAAAGAAAAAAATCTCCGGTGTGGCATTCTTTCATTTTGTCACTAAAGGCAGAACAGAGGCCAGAACTTCAGCTCTATCCTTCAAAGTGATGCCCCTGAGTAAACAGGTCTGTTCCCACCCTTGCACAGAAACCTGCAAATCTGGCTGCAGAGGTGGTGCTCTCACAGGATGCTTGTGCAAAGCCACAGAATGTGCAACACAAAGAGCAAAGCTACTGTCAACCAAGGGCTTCGGTTAATAATAATAATAAGGTGTCAGTGTCGGCTCACTGATTATAACAAACACAACCAGACTCTCAGAGAAACTAGTAATAAGGGAAACTGAGTGGGGGTGGGGGCCTTAAGGGAATTCTCTATTTAAGGGATTCCCTTTATATAAGGGAATCTATTCCTGCTCAATTTTTCTGTAAACCTAAAACTGCGCCTAAAAAAAGTCTGTTAAGTTAAAGCATGAAGCGATGATAAATATTTTAGAAAAAATGCTGATATGCTATTGGTAGAAGTCCTTGATCAAACAATACGTGTTTGCAGGCAAGTTTTTGCTATGCTAGTTGGACAAAGGCTCTGATGTGCGGAGGGTGAGGAAGCTTCTAGCCGACGGGCAGTGCACGCGAGGTCACAGTGCAGTCGAGATGTTCTGCGTCTTCACTGAAAATGCAGACTGTGGGGAAGAGGTGTTTTGCGGTTGACGGTCATGTGAGGGGTGGTGTCTCACCAGCCCCGTGGGCCACCAGGAGGGCCGCCATGAGGACAGAAGCCAGGCCACACACACAGGGGCCATGGACCAGCTCCCCTGGCCGTGACTCCACACTGAAGGAAACAGGACGCTTGTGGACGTATCCACGTGACCATCTTCTTGGACCGAGAGCGGTCAAGAACTGCAGCTTTCCTGCCTCCGAGGGCTGGGGGGCAGGGCAAGAGGCTGGCTTGAGCTTTGAAAGCGGGCACTGAGTTTCTGATAACACGAGTAAAGCAATTCCTGTGATTTCAGGAGGCACATCTCAGGGATGTGCGTATGGAGAACGGGAGCCCCACAGTCCTTAACATTGGAAACGAGGTCTCAGGATTTTCCAAGAAGACCCAAGTGCTCCAAGCAGCTGCGCTGCTGACACGCTGGCTTCCCAAACCCAGCAGCACGTGAGGATTTTCTTCACTTGGGGAGGAAGCAATCTACGGCGCATTCCCGGGCATACTTGGAAATTACATCTGGTGCCACAAAGCTCAAGAAATTCTTTTCACAGGTGAACACAACCAGAGACAGACCAGGACCCATTTGTGTCTTTCTCCAAGGAAGGCACTTGCCCTTCCGGCTTCTGCTGAGCACACGCTCAAACACCTGGTACCTGGCGGACAGAGTCACCTGGCAGATGCCACCCTGATCTCTGCGTGATCTGAATACCCAGAACCACCGCTACCTGAGAGCCAGGCCTCTGATTTCCTGGAGATGAGGAGTTCAAACGCACGGTGTTCGGGTGTGGGGCTCTGTCAGGCCAGGTCCCCACGCCCTGAGAAGACAGTGCCGTGCCACATCCTCGTGGACGGGAGTGCTGTGACCTGTGAGGCCTGGTCCGGAGACCACCACCGTCATCAGCTCCCACCGTGTGGCCCCCTGGGGCTGCCCGTTCGTGTGGCCTGGCCTCGCGGAACTCCGAGAGCCCCCACTCACCCCTTGACACAACCCAAAGCCAAACCCTGGGCCAAAATGACGAGCGCAGACCCCTCAGTTAGTCTCTACTCTGAGGTGTCAAAAGGAAGTGCAGGAGAAGGAGTTTTTATCTAAAACTCACCGTTGGGGCAATTCACTTTAAAGATTCATAAACTGATGAAATTTCAACCAGAAACAGAGACTCAAGGAAACCAGTCCCCGGAAGTCTGAAATTACCCAGCGAGGCTGCAGGTGGTGATTCACTCTGGTCTGCATGCTCCATTTTTAGAATTAACTTAAAGTCCCAAAATTCTAATTTAAAAAACACGGGCAGATATTGAAGGTCGGGGACAGGAGCCATATTTTACTATAGTTGCTATTTCAGGGCCATTCCTGTTCTGGGCTGCTGGGGAGCCCCTCGGATCTCAGCAGCACCCCTGAGAGATGCGCCATTCCAAAGACAAGCCGCGGAACCACAGAGCAGGTGGAGTCGGGAACCAGATTCTTACCCGAGACCATCAGTCCCCAGCCCGCTCATGGATTTCCAATCGATTTAAAAACTTGATTTTTCTAAAACAACCCAGATGACAAGCCACAGTGGCTGGACGGCCTGGGGTCTGAGCCGCAGGGTCGTGTGGACCACAGAGAAAGTCCCTTCTCAGTAAATGTGTGATCTGTGACCCTGGTATATTCCACTATTATAAACTGATGTAACTTGCTCACATAGAACCTTTCATTTTCTTGAAAGTTAAGGTAGTCTGTGAGGAATGCTTCCTGACCAGCTCTAACAGCTCTGGCCTTAGGTCCACCCGGGCAGCCCCTTGAGGGACACGGTCTGGTCTCCTGAGGCCGCCCAGACCCAGTGTGCCGATGGCCCTGAAGGGACTAAGTGAGCAAGGTCCAGGCTGGTGCACTGGGCACTGCCCACACGTCACAGCCTCCGGGAGGCAAGTGACCTCCCCTTGTGCCTGTCCTCAGAGCTGGACCAGGGAGAGAACTCGAACATAGAAGGAGAGGGGACAGCAAGAGCCAGGGGCCTCTGTGATGTCAGGAGACCCCAAAACACATCAGGACCAAAAGAACAGGGACAAGGCTAGAACATCACCTTCTATTTCAGGAGATTAGCCCCACACCAAAATAGGAAGTTGTTTTCTGATCAACAATCAATCAGCATAATCCATCGCATTAACAGTCTAGAGAAGACAAAACTTACGGTCACGCCAGTGAAGAAAATCATCTGACAAAGTTCGAGAACCATTTATGATAAAGGCTCTTAGAAAACTCGGAATAGAAGGGAACTTTCTCTATTTATGAAAACCTACGGCATGCGTCACATGTAGGGGTGAAGGACTACAGGCTGCCCCCCGTAAGACTGGGAACAAGGCAGGCATGCTCACTCCCGGCGCTCCAGTTCTACATCGTACTGGAAGTCCTAGCCGTGCAGAGGGGCAAGAAAAAGAAATGAAGTCATCCAGGTTGGAAAGGAAGAAATGAAACGGTTCCTATTTGCAGACAGCAAAACACCCCTTAGACCTAAAACAATGAGTTCGGCAAGGCTGTAGGATACAAGGGCAATGGTCAAAAATCAGCTGTATTTTCACATACTAGCAATGAACAGTTGGAAACAATGTAAAAATCAATACTATTTATAATAGCTCCAAAACTGTGAAATACCTAGGTATATATCTAAAAACAGGAACGGGAGCTGTATGGTAAAAATTACAAAATGCTGATTAAAGAATTCAAAATCTAAATAAATGGAGAAAATATACCATGTTCATGGATTGGAAGCCCCAACATTGTAAAGATCTCAGTTCTCCCCAAACTGATCTACAGGTTTAATGCTGTTTAATAATAATAATAATAATAAAATCTCACTAGGAACTTTTTGTAGATATAGATAAAATGACCTAAAATCTATATAAATAGTGAACATAATGCTGAAGCAAGAGGAACCATTCTACCCAACTTTGAGTGAAAAGACACTCTAAAGAATGGGAAAGAGTATCTGCAAATCACATATCTGACAGGTGACTTGTATCCAGAATATATAAAGAACTCTTAAAATTTAACAGTAAAGAAACAAACCACCCAGCTAAAAACTGGACAGATGACTTGACTGACACCTCACCAGAGCGTGTGCAAAAGGCAAAGAGCACGTGGAAAGCTGCTTACCATCATCAGCGACCGAGAAAATGCGGGTCATGACCCCAGTGAGACACCACCAAGCACCTATTAGAGTGGCCGAAATGGGAAATTCTGACAACACCCAGTGCTGGCGACCAGGTGGGTCCCACAGGACGATGCTCAGACATCACTGGGGGAGCGTGAAATGGTACAACCACAAAGGAAAACTGTCCGTGGTTTCTGATAAAGTTACACATACACTTACCGTATGAGCCGGCAATCCTGCTCGTAGGTATTGACTCAAAAGAGAGGAAAATGTGTGTCCGTACAAAAACCAGCAGTAACTACTTAAAGCTGCTTCATGCATGACCGCCTAAAACCAGAAGCCGCCCAAAGGGCCCTCAGTGGTGGCTGTGGGACAGGAGAATCCCACCCAGGGACGAAGCGGGAGGTACCGATTCCTGCAACAGCCTGGATGGATCTCAAAGGCTCCTTACTGGAGTGAAACTCGGAAGCCAGTCTCACATGTGACCTGCTCCCTGAATCCGTTCATGGGACAGTCCCAAAAAGACAAAACTATAGTGACGCAGAAGAGTGGCTGACAGGGGTCAAGAGAGGTCCTGACTACAAAGAGATGCCAGGAGGGTGTTCTGCCCTGCATCCTGACTGCGGTCGCAGTTACATGACTGTATGTGCGTCCAAACTCCTAGGACTGTACACCAGAAATGGTCAATTTTACTCCATGTTAATTTAAAAAATAAAAATAAACATGGAAAATAGTGTTTTAAAAGTAGACAGGTTTTTAAAGCCAGTAACTGTTTTGACTGGGAGCATGAGGATAACCACTGGGGGTAACCATCATTTCCTCTTGTTCAGGTCCGTCTAGGCTTTACGTGATGGGCTGACCCAAGCCTCTAGAGGCTGGCGGCAACGACAGCAGCCCCAGGGACCCCACAGCAGTGCCCACCACTGACGCCTCTGCCATTTCCAGAGCGGCCCCTGTGGACCACTTACCCTCTCTTCTTACTAATGGAGCAGTTGAAGTTCAAAGAGGTGGAACTTGCCATGGGCCACACGCACACTGGAGGCTGGCAGGGCTCCGGCTCCAGTGCTCCCAGCTGCCTTCCACTCATCATCCCTGCTGTGAGTCTAGTCAGGGTCTAACCCGCTGCCCAAGGGGGCCTCGTACATACCGTAGCTGGCGAAGACCGGGTGGTGTGGGCCAGTGAGTGTCTGCTGCTGTTCATCCCCTCGTGGATGAGATAGGCTCCCGTGCTGGAGACAATGGGGCACCCCCCGACATCCATGGCGATGCCCACCATGCTATGGGAGGGCACCACTAGGGGGGAGGAGCCTGCCACGGTCACCTGGGCACTGCCCAGGGCCTCAAAGTAAGAGGCGGCGCTGCTGGGCACGTACATCTGAGGCTCGGGGTTGTAGGCGTAGGCGGTCCGTCTGTCAGAAAGGGAGAAGGTACCTCCTCTGAGTCCCAGAGGAGCCCAGCTGGAGCCCCGCGAAACCCAGCACGTGGGCAATTCAGACATGAAGCGCCAGTGCAACGCCACGTTCGAGCGATTGTCTGAAAATATTCAGGATCACAGGATGACTCATCAACGTGGGTCATTTAACAATTCCAGGTGCATAAGTAAGGGGTCATGTGTGGGAGCTCCTCTGCAGAGGTAAACAGTTCTGCAGCTTCTCGTGGTCACGTGAATCCATACGTGGATAACACAGCCTCGACTGTATACAGGTGTACACACACACATGCATGCATGTAAAGGCTGGAGGGTGAGAATAGGGCCAGTAACCGTATTTTCCAATGTCATTTTCCTGCTATGGCCTGTTAGTCATGAAGGTGTCACCACTGAGGGAAGCTGGGTGAAGGGCACATGGGACTCTGGGTAGTAATTTCACAACTTCCTGTGAGCCTATGGTTCTCTCAAAACAAAAAGTTTTCAAAAATGGAACTGCAGAATAAAAATTTCTGAGTGGTCCCAAAAGTCCGTCCATGTAGATGAAATGACTAAGCATGTATATTTGAGACTTAAATTTCTAAGTTCTGCTCAAGTGGCACCAGCCGTACTGAAGGGCCCCTCTGGGTGGCAGGGGGCCCCTCCGACCTCTGGGAGGTGTGCCCTCCCATCCCGTCCCCCAGGTGACACCCTGTTGCACTCTAGTTCAAACATCAAGCCAGGACGTTGACCCTGGTACAACCATCCGTTCGCCAGCTTCACACACCCTTGTTTGTGTTGTGTTTCGTGACTGCCAATGTTGTGCCATGGAAACACACATAATTCCAGCGGTCACAACCCCTTAACCACAAGCAAACCCTCATGCCCGATCCTTGAACTTTCAAGGGGGAGTTGTCAAGATCAAATGAGCAAAAGGACTATGTTGAGCGAACTGAGCATCACGGGAACTGTACCATTTTCTGCCCCAAGTGTCACACAGTTCGAAAGCAGAAAATTCTAGAAGTCCTTGACAAATGGAGAAATCAGGTTCTATCACCATCATAAAAAAGCCAGAGGTTAACAAAGGCAAGGATGAGAAAGTGGGGATGGAAATGGTTTCTGAACTGCGAAGACTGAATCTTCAGACTTAGAAGCTGGATCGGGGTTGTTTCTGTTTTATTTTGTTTTGTTTAAAGACTTTCTTTTCTAGAAGTAAAAACTACAATGGCCTGTAATTTCTGGAATCTCCCCCAGGGCTGTGATGCCCTAGTACTGCACTCGACAGGTAAGAGCGAGGGATCCCTGCAAACACATCCCCAGATGGGGGAGGGAAGCTTCCAGACACGGCCGCTTGCGAGGGGGGAGAGAGAAGCCACGTACAGGGCTCCGTTGGTGTAGACGGCGTTTCCGCCCTCCATGTACTGCACCTGGGGGTGGTACGCGTGCTGCACGGGCGGGACCTGAAACAAAGCACATGTTTTGTGTCACCCTTATTTTCCTTATTGGTGATTTCCACATCATTCAAGCTGAATGTTTCTTCTATTCCCTTTTATGGATATTTACTACTACATTACAGTTTCTGTGGCCATAGCCGGTGCTTCTAGAAGCAAACTAGGAGACACAGTCACGTAAAGGCCACCCAGGAACTGAACCGCCACTGACCCACAGGATTGCTGCGCTTTCTGTGAGGGGCGGCTCATTTCCGTTGCTGTGCACGAGGGAGGACAGGTGAGCCCTATTTTGTTGGGGGAACCTAGCCGACAGCTGGAGCACAGCTGGGAAGGTCCCTGAGCCTGCCAGGCGCTGGGCAGAAGGTTGGGCCTGCTCAGCAGCAGTAGAAGCCAGACTTGTGGACGGAGGGCAAGCTGGTCATCGCCTTTGCAGCTGCAGCGCTCCCTTGCGTGGCCCTGATGCCCCTCCCTAGTGGAGGGGCGGGGGGTCCTGGAAGCCAGCCTTCCCCCTGGGGAGACACTGTGAAGGTCTGGGCAGGACGGGACAGGGTCTCAGCTGCTCTGTATCCCACTCGTGGTGCCTTAGAGGCAGGAGTCTGAATCGGTTTCAATTCAGCATCACACAGAGCATAAATCAGCAAATTCCAATCCAGCCTGAGGGCCAAAGCTGGCCTGACCATTTTCATCAATAAAGCTTTATTGGCACACAGCCATCCCCTTCGTTTACATCTGCAGCTGCTTCTGGGAGACAACAGCAGGGTCCAGGGGTGTGCTGGAGACTGTCTACCCTGCAAAACCAAAAATATGTACTATGTGGCCTTTTCCAGAAAAGGTTTGCCAGCTGCGCCTCTAGGTCATGCAGACCGAGCTGCTCTCTGTGCTGTTGGTTGGCTGGTGAGCCCACACTTTTGAGCTTTGTCCCCAGATAACTTAATTTCACAGGAGGTGCTTGCTTCCTGGGCAAGGTGCTTCCCTGGGGACACAGCACTTGTCTGGGGTGGGTTTGCCCCCGAGGAGGGTCCCTGTTCCTCCAGTCCAGAAACTTCGCTGTCTGCGTGTCTCTCTCAGCAACCCAGTGCTCTGTAGAGGTGCTGGCCTGCACCCCAAATGCTTTATTTCTGAATGAATCAAAGATCATCACCTTTTCTGGCTTGTTGCAAACTATCTGACGTAAAAGATTTTTTTAAAAAAACCTAGCTCCTACAAGAACCTTCTGGTAAGGGTCCAAAGATACCACAGAAAAGGGAAGAGCAATAGCAGAAAAGGATGCATGATTCAGAGAGGCCCACACTGCTAAGTGCCAGCGTGCCTGGGCACCCGTGCTGCGGTCACCTGCTGGGGTCTGGGGAGGAAGACTGAATGCATCTGGGCCCCTATGGGAGCTGAGCGCACTTCCTGGACCAACACCCTCTGAGAGGGAAGGAGAGAAGGACATCGGACTTGCCAGGGGTCAGTCCTTACAACAAACACAGATAGTGACATGGGCCGACACCTCCTGCTCCACTGTCGCTTCACGAAGCCTTGAGAGGGGCCAATAGGAAGGGAGAGGAGGGCGCACGCGCACACCCCGCCCCGCCCCGGGCAGGGCCATCCACCCCGCTCCAGAAGAGCGCTACGTGGCACACTACGGCTTCCAACACATGCCGGGCTTGCCCCCATTCAATACACGAGGGAAAACGAAGCCCAGCGAGGTCAAGGGATGTCCCACAGCCTGAGGACAGTACATGCCAGAGCCGAGACTCAGGCCCAGGTGCCCTGCCTCCTCGCCCAGCTCTGTGCTCTGCGTTGGGTTTTCATGGAGTGGCTTTGTCATTTTGCCCAGAGGAACAAATGGACACACAAAGCTATGAGAATGTGAAGGATCAAAATGGGCTCTGCAGTGGAGAGAGGAACAGGAGCGAACGCTTGTTTAAAGCCACCGACTGGGATTCTGCAGTTTTCTGAGGCGGACCCTAAATGTCCTGGTCCTGCTGACCCCGTGAGCACGCACAGAGGGAATTCTGCAGGCACCAGCCTCCGTGGGCACACAAGCAAAGACAAAAAGAACAGAAGGAACAAAAACCACCAGGCTGAGCGGACACAGGATACGCCCCTGCACACATGCCTGTGTGTCCAGTCTGTTCCACTGCCTTCAGTTCCGTGTGGCCTCACATTACTAACTATGCTTGTGACTACTTTATGGTGTATTGCGATCCGTGCAAGACATTCAGAAACCGAGAGAGCCTTAATGTGGAAATTCTGTCTTTGCGCATTTTCAAGAATACATCCATTTGAATGTTAGATTCAATTTAAACCAAATCCTAAGAATTCTAGCTTCTCTCTTGCCTTATCCCTGAAGTCTTCCCTTGTGAAAGGGTCACTCCAAGAAAACCCCTGTTAGAAGATAAGAATGGACTAAGTCAGACTTGGGAGCGCTTTCCTTTGGAATCTGTATCATCAATTCCTTGGTGGGATCTTTTTTAACAAATAGTGAAAAAGCCATATAAAGGGTCGTTGGGGATAGACGGAAGGTGTGGCTATAAGCAGCAGCTTTACAGGCTGAGAAGCCAGTTCAGGAAAATGTAGATTCCTCTCTCTCCGCTGATTCACATGTTTTTCAAAACCAAAGTGGGTGCATCCGCCCTGGCCACAGGGCTTCCCCCAGAACAGTCATAGCAGCGGGGGTGGGGGTGGGGGGGGGGCGGGCGGTTACCTGCAGGGAGGCTGGGACAGGCTGGGCCACGGGGGCCTGGGCTGCCGCTGACGGACACAGAACCACGGACGCTGGCGAGTCCGATCCACTCTCTGAATTCTGCATGCTCAGTTCTAAAGAGAGGCGGAGAGAGGCTGAGTGAGTCAGGGCAGCCATCGTGAAGCCCAAAGAGGGGGGTTCAGACACACCCGGGCCAAGGGAGGGGCCACCCCTGCATTAGGCCAGGCTCAGGTGCAGGGACCCTGGTACACTGTGGCTGACAAGGGGGAGCAGGTGCACAGCTGTTCCTGAGAAGGGGGCGCAGGGGGTGCTCCCTAAGGCAAAACCATAGGGTGACGCTGCAGGCAGGCTGGGAACAGCTAACCGCATCTCCTTTCTCTAGCCTGAAGGGCTGAACTATTTCGAACAACTGTTTGCTAATTGGCGCTGCAAGTCAAAAGCTCTTAAGGACGCCTGCCCTGTGGGGAGCTTCTACGGTACCCAAGGATGAGGAGATTCTCTGAGGGCGGGGCACGGTCCCCCTGGGCACTGTGGGCCTCGGGGCTGCCTCCTTCTCGGGGCACCTTCTGGGGGCCGCACGGCACTGAGCAGCGTTCCTGCCCTCCACTCATTAGACGCTGGGAGCACCCACCGGGAGCACCCACCACCCCAGTCATGACAACCAACAATACCTTCAGACATTGCCCAAGGTCACTTGGGGCCGAAACTGCCCCCTGGTTGAGAACCACTGGCCTAGGGAGAAAAAAAAGGTGATCTACGGATGGGAGTAAAGAAACATTTTATCCTGGGCTGGTTAAAACACCTGCCTTCTCTTCCCAGCCATCCTCACCCACGAGGAAGCGTAAAAGGCTATTTTCCAGTGGCAGGAATGCTCACAGCTTCCCAACAGGCAGTTTTAAAATTCTGTACAAAGACTCACTTAACGTCAGAACCAAGCAGCAGATGATACAAAGTTACTCAGAAAATGCTGAAAGTCAAACTGGTTCACTCTTAAATAAGCAACCAGCTGCTTTAAGCATTTGAGAAGCAGTTTAGATAGGATCCTGGCAGTTGTGGTCAGGCACACCCCGACCTGGCACCGGCTCTGAGCACGCCCCCCCTCCCCGCCCCAGAGGGGACCAGGCCTGAGCAGCACGGCACGCGGCACAGTGTCCAGGACTTCAACATCGCCCCTAGAGTCTCCACCCCCACGCGTGAGTGAGTTTTTTCAAAGCCTTTTCTTTTTAATGCAAAGAAAACCTGTTAACACGGTGAAAAACAATTTACCTAAGGAAAGTAGAAAGGGGGAATGCAGGCACTGGCGTTCGAGTGCAGGTTCGATCCCATCTTCACGGACAGGGCCTTTTTCCTGACCTTGCGGGATCCCCTTGGGCCACGAGCGCCCCTGGGTGGGTCTGTGGCCTTTCTGTTCTCTGTGGGACCGGCTCGGCCCCCACCACTAGGTGTCCCCGGAACCAGGTGGTGGCCGTGCCTAGGTTCTCCTCTCAGAGGAGGAAGGACGTGGTCAACTTCCACTTGTGTACTTCCTGGGTCCCCAGCTCCCTGCCTTTGGGGTGATTATGTCGGGAGTTGTTTGATCCAGGTGTCTCAGTGACAGTTTTCTCTAACGGTTAAATCAGTCACCACTTTGTTCCCATGGGGAAGCCACAAAGTGGGGGTTGGGGGTGGGGAGAGGGAAGCACGGGACAAGAACGCGTCCTGGGGAGAGTCCACTGGCGACAGACAAGGTGAGAACGCTGGCCTCACCGAGACCCACGCCCTTCGGTGGTGGAAATAATTTTGCTCCCAAGTCTTAGACTTACTGAAACAAGGAGCGTCTGTGGGTGCTGGGGATGGACAGCGAGCCTGTGCTGGGCCTCCTGCGGTCAGAACACACCTTGCAGAAGACGGGTTATTCAGCAGCACCCTGAGTTTTCTGTCGCATGCTCCCTACTTTAACACTGTTTCCCATGCAGCCTGTGTGGTTATCACACTGTTTCGCATGCACTGTTTGGAACAGGAGTCCCTAAACTTTTGCTGTAAAGGGCAGACATGGCCCATCTGGCCTCTGTGGCAGCTCTGCCATCGCAGCCCAAGAGCAGCTATTGTAAACTTCATTTACAAAGCAGGCGATGGGCCAGCTTTGACCCATCAGCCATAGTGGCTGGATCCTTGGCCCGTATAACTTGAGTTTGATCAAGTGATGTGGTTTTGGAAGGTGGATAGAAAAACTGCACTGTCTGGACTCAGAACCTGGAGTGCACAGGCCCTCGACCCAGAGCGTGGTTCCTGTGGCTGCGTCTCACAGCCTGAGAGTACTGGGGGGCTGCAGGGGAACGCAAATTGTTAGGAGAACAGAGCTAACACTTAAGGACGCACAGAGACACCAAGCACCGGTCTGAAACAGTGGTGGCCCCGAAGCTTAGAAGGCCATGAATGAAATGGACCCACCACATCCTGGAACCCCCAGCAGCCAGGCGTGACCCTTAACAAGGAGTCTGGGCACAATGGGCAGGGCACTTCGGGGAGTTGCAGGGGGCTGACGAGTGTACCCCCCAAAATTTATGCCCACCCAGAATCTCAAAGTGCGGCCTAGTTTGGAAATAAGTGTCTTTGCAGATGTAATCAAGGTGAGGATCGAGGTGAGATCATCCTGGACCAGAGTGGGTCTCAAATCCAGTGACAGTGACCTCATGACAGACAGAAAAAGACACAATGGGAAGAGGGCATGTGATGACAGAGGCAGAGATTGGAGGGAGGCACCTACAAGCCAAGAGACGCCGGGCAGGGCCGGGGCTGCCAGAGGTAGGAAGAAACCCCCCACAGGGATCGCGGCTCTGCCAACACTTTCTGGCTTCCAGGACTGGGAGAGGATACATTTCTGTTGTTTGAAGCCACCTAGTCTGTGGCACTATGAACAGCAGCCCCAGGGAACTTCGCAGGGCCCAGAGGATGCACAGGGGCACAGGGGGGACAAAGGCGCCCCCCGACACGGGTGGGACAGGGCTCAGTGCCGCCGGTCACATTTACCCCATGGATGAGTCCTCCAGGGACTCCTGAGTATTACACCTGACACTGAATTACGCAAAACTGTATGTAGCATTTCAGACAGTGAGAGTCTATGACAGTACTTTAGAAAACAGTAATATACCGAATTATTATTTCAAGAGGCTGTGAAGTTGGAAGATATAAATAAGTTCATAAAGGTTCCAGAAAATAAGATTATCTAGGTAATGCAGATAAAGCAGGTGCTAGAAAATATGTCCAAGAACTTAAGAAAATTTAAAAGATACCCGGTGTTATAGACCTCTCAGTTCTTCAGACTGGGTTCTATTGATCCTTCTTCAAGGTCAATGGCTCTTCCTTCCGCCATCTCTCATCAACTGTTAAGAATATCCAGTGCAATTTTCATTATGCGGTACTTGTCAACTCCAGAATTCCTAACTGGTTCTTTTTCATAGTTTCTAATAGTCTCCTGAGAGCCCCTCATGTTCACTCAAAATCTGTGGTATGTACAAAAGCAGGGCTTAGAGGAAAATGTTTAGCTTTATACGCTCAGAAAGAAGGGTTCGACAATCAATCATTTACATATGCAACCTTGGGAAGCTATAACAAACAAGCAAAGGAAAGTTAAATTAAATGAAAAGAAATAATAGAGGAAAAAAATTAATGAAATAAACTCCACAGACAATGGAGAAAATGAACATGACCAAAATTTCCTCAAAATTGAAATTTCTTCTGACAAAGAAGTGAGTTTTCAAGCCATGAAAAGACCTGGAGGAAACGTGAGTACATATTACCAAGTAACAGTAAATGTATACACACTATGATCCCAACTACAGGCTGCTCTGGAGAAGGGAACACTGCAGGGCAGTAAAAGGATCGGTGACTGCCGGGAATTTAGGGGGAAGGAGGGATGAACAGGCAGCACAGAGGGTTTTCAGGGCAGCACAAATAGTCTGTATGTTACGATGGTGGATATATGTCCTTACACATCTGTCTAAACCCATAGGAAGCACCCCCAGGAGCGAGCCCTGATGCAAACCACGGATCTCTTGTGCTAATGACGTGTCCATGTAGGTCCCATCTATAAGCAGACGGCTCTGGTGGGGGAGGTTGGTAATAGGGGAGACTGCTGTGGAGGGTAGAGGGTATATGGGAATTTCTGTACCTTCCTCTCAACTTTGCTGTGAATCTGAAACAGCTTTAAGAAAAGTAAAGTCTTAGCAAAAAAAAAAAAAGATCGACAACACTCTATAAAAGACTGATTAGTAAGAGAAAGAAAAAACCCACAAATTACCAATATCAGAGGTAGAGTGGGATATACCACTACAAATCTTACAGAAATCAAAATTATAATAAGGAACTATTATGAACAACTTTAGCCAATAAATTTGACAACTTAGATCAAATAAACACTTCTTTTGAAAAATAGAAAATATGCAAACTGACACAAGATGAAATAGAAAACACAAATGTCAGATATAACAAAGAAATCGGGTATGTTATTGAAAAATTCCGTACAAATAAAACACCAGGCACAGACAGTTTGTTTCAGTGGTGAATGCTATCAAACACTGGAAAATAATACACAAATTCCATCAGAAAATTAAGGAACACTACACTACTCACTTCATGAGGTCAGTCAAACCCTGATATCAAAACTGGATAAAGATATTACAGGAAAAGTATGTAGATCAATATTTCTAATGAACATACGTGCAAAAATCAAACCCAGAAGATATAGCCAATATAACCCATACTTATATTATTGATTTTTTTTCTAATGAAGTCCCAGCTCTTTTCCTCCTCAAGTGATTTTTGACAAAAGTATCAAGGAAATTCAACAGGAAGGGAAGTCATTTAAACAAATGATATCTGCATGGGAAGGAAAAAAAAATGAGCCTCGATCCCTACCTCAAACCATACACAGAAATTTTTCCAGTTAGATCACAAACTACACTGAAAAGCTAAAACTATAAAACCTGCAAGAGGAAATGGAGGAAAAGAGAGGCGAAAGTTTCTTAGAATGCAGAAAAGCATAAGTATAAAAGAAAAACTTGATAATCCAATTTCATCAAAATTAAAAACTTCTGCTCATTAAAAGACTTCATTAAGAACACAAGTCGGTAAGCTACGGTCTGAGAGAAAATATTTACAAAACATGTATCTGACAAAGGACCTGAATTCACAATATATAAAAAGCTCCTACAACTCAATAATAGGAAGACGAGTCACTTGATGGGCAAAAGATTTGAACAGGCACTTCCCAAAGATATACAGATGCCCAAAAAGTATATGAAATAGTGCTCAACGTCGTTAGTCCCTAGGGAAATGCAAAGTAAAGCCGCAAGGAGACACCACTGAATACTCAGTAGAATGGCTCAAGCTAAAAAATGTGATGACGACCAATGCCATGAGGACATGGCCAAATCACGACTTTCACTCACTTGCGGGGATGTAAAATAATATGGCCACATTGGAGAAAAGGTTTGGCAGTTTCCTAGAAAGTTAGAACTACCCTTTAACTCACAATTCCCCTCTTCAGTATTTAGCCAAGAGAAACAGAAACATGTTTACAAAATACCTTGTCCAAGCATGTTCATAGCAGTTTTATTCACAGTAGCCAAAAAAGTAGAAATAACCCAAATGGCCATCATCAGGAGAACAAGTAAGAAATTGTACATTGTGGTAAATTAAAGATGCATATTGTAATCCCTAAGGCAACCATGGAGGAAGAAAAAAAGATATAGCTAGAAAGCTAACATGGGAATTTTACTGGCATGTTCTTCGTTAACACACAGGATTGAACCCTGATATGCACAACACCTGGATGAATCTCTGTCACTGTGCTGAGTGAAAAAAGCTGATCCAAAAGAGAAATGATTAAATGAATCTAAGGTCTGAAAAAAAAATCAGAACAGTGTCAGGGGCGCAGGGGTTGTCCGAGAAGGGACAGGAGGAACTTTCCAGGGAGGCAGACAGACACACTCTGGGGGTAGGGTGGGCGTTACACGGAGCACCCACTTGTCATTGTTAGACGGCCAGGACTTGTGCCTGTGTGTAAATTTTAACCTAAAAAACCCTGTAGAAAATATAACAACAGAGTGGAGGTGTGTAAGCGGCACAAAAAGGCAGAATACTGACAGAGCCTCAGCACGGCTGCAGGGTTCATCACATTGTGTGTTGATTTTAAGAAACTGAAATTTCCCTAGAAATAAAACACCAGGCACAGACAGTTTCACTGGTGAATGCTATCAAACGAAAAAACCCACCCAGCAAGTAGCTTTCACAAAAAGACTAAGGGCAACCACGTTTTACGGCTCGTCTGCCCTGCTCACATCCCTTGAGGACGGGAGAAGAGAAGCAGGCGGTCTCCCTGGACGCGTGAGCTGGGCCAGCGGGGTGGGGAGGTTGGTGGCCCCGGAGACAAGGCCACCCACCAGCCACATTCATCAGGAAGT